AGGGAGCAAGGGGAGCCCCCCCACCCCCTGGCCAGGGCAGCAGGGGAGGAAGAAGCTGCACCTCTAGCCCCCGCAGCCTAGCCAGTACCACCCTAACTGCCTGGAGAGGTGGAGAGTGGAAGTGACCAGGAGCACAGGGTGCCTGGCTGGGTTCAGATTCCCGTAGGATCGTACATCAGTGGTGTGTCCAGTAGTGACGAGGCACTAGGGCTACACCCCGCAGTGCCCAGCCCGTGCGGTGCCAGTGCTTGCCAGGCTAGGCTCCGTTTCCCTTTGAGCTGTGTGCCCAGTGGGGAAGTGGGGGTCATACCTCGTAGGGCTCAGGGCCCGAACCTGGGCATCCTACAGCCCACGCATGAGCCCAGCCCATTCTCTCGCTGACAAAATCAATTGTTTAAAACTGGGGGCTGACTCTTGGCTTCGAGCTCGGGGATCCCTCTCGGTGGGGCTCAGGGGACCCTGTGCAGTGCCAGGGGTGGAACCCAGACTGCTGTGTGTGTGTGTGTGTGTGTGTGTGTGTGTGTGTGCCAGGCCAACAGCGTCTTCCCCGCTGCCCGGTCTCTCGGCTCAGCCAATCAATGTTTTCTTTTCAGTTATTTTTTGGGGACTTGCCCAGCGATGCTCAAGGTTCACTCGTGGCTCTGCGCTCAGGAATTACTCCTGATGGTGCTCTGGGGACCCTGTAGGATGGCTGGGGATTGAACCTGGGTCGGCCATGTGCGAGGCAAACGTCCTCCCTGCTGCACTATCGTTCCAGCCCCAAATCAATTTGAGGGGCATTTGGGGGTCACATCTGACAATGCTCAAGGTTCACCACTGGCTCTGAACTCAGGAATCAGTCCTGGCGGTGCTTTGGGGGGGGGGAGGCATATGCGGTGCCAGGAATTGAACCTGGGTCAGCCACATGCAAGACAAACATCCTCCATGCTGTACTACCACTCCAGCCCCCAAATCAATTTTTTTTGGCTTTTTGGGTCACACCCAGCGATGTTCAGGAGTTACTCCTGGCTCTGAGCTCAGGAATCACTCCTGGTGGTGCATGGGAGACCCTATAGGGTGCCAGGGGTCAAACCCAGGTCGGCCACATGCAAGGAAAACAAACACACTCCCTGCTGTACTATTGCTCTGGCCCCCAAATCAATTTTTTTTTATTTTTGACTTTTTGGGCCACACCCGGCAATGCTCAGAGGTTACTTCTGGCTCTGCACTCAAGAATTACTCCTGGTGGTATTTGGGGACCATATGGGATGCCAGGAATCGAACCCAGGTCAGCCATGTGCAAGGCAAGCGCCTTCCCTGCTGTACTATTGCTTCAACTCTATATCAATTTTTGTGCGGGAGGGGGGGAATTTGGGGGCCACACCTGGCGATGCTCAGGGGTTACTCCTGGCTCTGTACCCAGGAATGATCCTGGCAGTGCTTGGGGAACTCTATGTGGTGCCAGGGATTGAACCTGGATCAGTCACATGCAAGAAAATACCCCCCACACACACACCTCGCTATACTACCTCTCTGGCCCCCAAATAATGTTTTTGGCTTTTTGGGTCACACTCAGCGATGTTCAGGAGTTACTCCTGGCTCTGAGCTCAGGAATCACTTCTGGTGGTGCTTGGGAACCCCTATAGGGTGCTGTGGATCAAACCCAGGTCAGCACACTCCGTGCTGTACTATTGCTCTGGCCCCCTGAGCATTGTTTGTTTTTGACTTTTTGGGCCACAGCTGGCAATGCTCAGGGGTTGCTCCTGGCTCTGTACCCAAGAATTACTCCTGGTGGTGTTCAGGGACCATATGAGAGGCCGGGAATCGAACCCAGGTCGGCCATGTGCAAGGCAGGCGCCCTCCACACTGTACTATTGCCTCAGCTCTAAATCAAGTTTTTTGAGGGGGTTACTTTTGGGGCCATACCCGGTAATGCTCAGGGGTTGCTCCTGGCTCTGCACTCAGGAATCACTCCTGGGGGTGCTCAGGGGACCATATGGGATGACGGGAATCAAACCCGGGTTGGCCACGGCAAAGGCAAGGCAAACGCCCTACCCGCTGTGCTATCGCTCCAGCCCTCAAATCAATTTTTTTAAGGGTTTTAAGTAAGAGGGGGTAGCCGAAGCCTCTTGGGACCTCTCACCTCCCAGACCCTGGCAGGTTGGCTGGCAGGTTGGCGCGCGCAGGGGGGCGGGGCGGGGCGGGGGGGGGGCGGAGCGGCCCCCTGATGGTCTCTGCCCGACCCCCGCAGGTCCAGCCTCTGCCTGCCTCCTGCTGCTGCTGCTGGCGCTGCCCCCCGCCGCCCCCAGCTGCCCCATGCTCTGCACCTGCTACTCGTCCCCGCCCACCGTGAGCTGCCAGGCCAACAACTTCTCGTCGGTGCCTCTGTCCCTGCCGCCCGGCACGCAGCGCCTCTTCCTGCAGAACAACCTCATCCGCACGCTGCGGCCGGGCACCTTCGGGCCCCACCTGCTCACCCTGTGGCTCTTCTCCAACAACCTCTCCACCATCTACCCCGGCACCTTCCGCCGCCTGCAGGCGCTCGAGGAGCTGGACCTGGGCGACAACCGGCACCTGCGCTCGCTGGAGCCCGACACCTTCCAGGGCCTGGAGCGGCTGCAGTCGCTGCACCTGTACCGCTGCCAGCTCAGCAGCCTGCCCGGCCACATCTTCCGCGGCCTGGTCAGCCTGCAGTACCTCTACCTCCAGGAGAACAGCCTGCTCCACCTCCAGGTCAGCGCCCGCCCCTGGCCCCTCCCGCCGGGCCCCCACCCCTGTCTCTGTGTGTCTGTTCGTCCATCGCTTTATGTCCGTCCGTCTCTGCGTGTCTGTCTGTCTGTCCGCCCATCTCTTCATGTCCGTCCATCTCTGCGTGTCTGTCTGTCCGTCCACCTCTGCATGTCCATCCATCTCTGAATGTCTTGTCTGTCTGTCTGTCCATATCTGCGCATCTGTTTGTCCATCTCTGCGTATCTGTCTGCCCGTCCATCTCTTCATGTCTGTCCATCTCTGCATGTCTGTCTGTCCGTCCATCTCTGCATGTCCGTCCATCTCTGCATGTCTGTCTGTCTGTCTGTCCACCTCTGCGCATCTGTTTGTCCATCTCTGCGTGTCTGTCTGTCCGTCCATCTCTGCATGTCCGTCCATCTCTGCATGTCTGTCTGTCTGTCCATCTCTGCGCATCTGTTTGTCCATCTCTGCGTGTTTGTCTGTCCGTCCATCTCGTCATGTCTGTCCATCTCTGCATGTCTGTCTGTCCATCTCTGCATGTCTGTCTGTCCATCCATCTCTGCGTGTCTGTCTGTCCATCCATCTCTACATGTCTGCTGTCTGTCTGTTCCTCTCTTCATGTCCCTCCATCTCTGCCTGTCTGTCTGTTTGTCCATTTCTGCATGTCTGTCTGTCCATCTCTGCGTGTCTGTCTGTCCGCCCATCTCTTCATGTCCATCCATCTCTGCATGGCTGTCTGTCTGTCTATTTCTTCATGTCTGACCATCTCTGCATGTCTGTCTGTTCATCCATCTCTGCGTGTCTGTCCATCTTCGTGTGTGTGTCTGTCCATCTCTATGTGTCTGTCTGTCTGTCCACCTCTACATGTCTGTTTATCTCTGCATGTCTGTCTGTCCGTCCATCTCTGCGTGTCTATCTGTCCATCTCCTAGTGCCTGTCTGTCCATTTCTGTCTGTCTTGTCTGTCCATCTCTGCGTGTCTGTCTGTCCTTCCCTCTGCCCCCCGTCCCTCTATCCCTCGCTGGCTCACTTGCCTCCCCCATCTGTCTCCTCCTGCCTCCTCTGTCTGTCTCCCTTCGCACGCCCACTCCACACACGCCCCCATGTCTGTCTGGGTGTATGGATGCGTCTCTTGCCGCGATCTTATCTCTCCATCCACCCTCCTCCGTGAGCTTTCGGGGGACACGGCCTGCCTCTCCCCAGGCACCCCAGCCCGAGGGCCGTGGGAGGATTTTCTCCCCCCCCACCCAGGGAAGCAGAACCAGGCTGGTGTCCCTGCTGCGGCCCACTGGGCCATGGGACCAGGGCCGCCTTCTCTCTAGACCCCTGTCCCGCTCCACCCTTGCTGTCTCAGTGCCAGGAAAGAAGGGGGGAAAGGTGAAGAGCAGTTAAATAGCTGGAAAACGGATGCTCTGGAAACGGAAGGAATCACAGTGATTGCTATCTATTGTTATTATTATTGATCTGGATATTGTTTATCATTGTTCTGATGCTGACTGTCTTAACAGTCAGACCTGCTCTTCTGTCTCCCAGGAAGCCGGAACACACCCTCCTAACCACTGGGGAGAAACAACCTCCCTGTCAAGGTGGCCCCTGGTGGAAGGAGCCGGGAGCCCCCTCCCCGGCTGCTCCCTAACTCGGTGGCCAACAGGAGGAGCCCGGGGGTCAGGGCCACTAGCGACAATCACTTCACAGACTGAGCCCCACCCTGGGCCAGGTGCTGAGAACACGGCACTGAACAAGGCAGACAGAACTCCCCTATAAATAGTATGTTGGGAAAATATGTGGCATGCTATTGTGATTGCAAAAATAAAGAGGATAAGAATAGCAGGCGGGCCACAGCGTGGGCACAGCGTGAGCCCGCACTGTGCTGAGTGAGGACTTGACAGGCGCCAACGCTGCCGGGCCCCGAACTCGCGCCAAGCCTCAGCTTTCCCATCTGTAAAATGGGGGCATGAGAGTGCTTGTCTCCATGGGATTTTGATAAGCCTCAAGTGCAGGGATATGTTGCAAAGCTCAGAGATGGGTGTCTGGCATGCAGTGAGCACCAAGCGGTGCTTGTTAGCGTGTGATTTCAGACAAAAAGAAACAGGCCGGAGGGATGGCTCAGTGGGCTGGAGTGGGCGCTTTGCATGCAGGAGGTCTGGGTTCAAGGACCAGCACCAGATGTGGGGAGAAGCCCTCCACTGCCAGGAAGGAAGGAAGGAAGGAAGGAAGGAAGGAAGGAAGGAAGGAAGGAAGGAAGGAAGGAAGAACCTCATGTCCTGGTGGCCATGCTGTCTGAGGTGGCCCATTTGGACCCATCTTGGATATCTGAGTCTACTTCAGGCCTCTGACGGAAACACTGGGTAGGTTCCAGAACATTCTCTTCCTTTCCTTTCCTTGCCGTCTTTCCTTCCTAAATTGCCCTGCACCTCAACTGCAAGAGCCAGCAGGTAGGAGGACATGGGCTGCAAGTTCCTGGGACCACGACCCAGGAGAGCTGATGACCCTTGAGTCTTTGTCCCTGGCTGACGTTCGACCCATTTCCACCGCCCCAAAGCTTGTGCCCCGTCCGTCCCTGCACAGGGAGAGAGGGTGAGCGCCTCCTCGGAATCACGCTCTGTGGCAATTTCCAGCTCAGTCCTGTCTCCCGCGTGACTTCAGACAAACTCCTTCACCACCCAGTCCCACGTTGTCGGAGCCAACTGGCAGCCAGGCTGTATGGAAGAGATACAGCTCAGCTAAGAAACTGTGGGGGTTAAAGTTAAACTCAGGACCAGAGCGATAGCACAGCGGGTAGGGCGTTTGCCTTGCATGCGGCCAACCCGGGTTCGATTCCCAGCATCCCATATGGTCCCCTGAGCACCGTCAGGGGTAATTCCTGAGTGCAGAGCCAGGAGTAACCCCTGTGCATTGCCAGGTGTGACCCAAAAAGCAAAGCAAGCAAGCAAGCAAGAAAGAAAGAAAGAAAGAAAGTTAAACTCAGGACTGGAGCGATAGCACAGCAGGTAGGGCGTTTGCCTTGCACACAGCCAACCCGGGTTCAATCCCCTGCATCCCGTCTGGTTTCCCAAGCCCTCCAGGAGGGATGCCTGATACCAGTCAGGAGTAAGCCCTGAGCACTGTGGTTGTGACCCAAAACCAAAAAAAAAAAAATTTTTTTTTTAATTAAACTCAGGGCCATACTCTAGCCAATGTCCTCCTCATCGTCACTATTGTCACTATTAGTTGTGCTAGAGTGACCGATGCTGAAGCTCTGACCTCCTCATCAATATTTATTGGTTGTTCAGAATAACAAAACAGATTCGCGGGGGGGGGGGGAGGTGGTAGACGGTGGGTGGGGGGGGTGCTTGAATGACCTATAACATAAATTTTGCATGCAGGAGCCCCAAGGTCCACCCCCAGAACTACATATAGCTACATAGAGTCCCCTGACCACCTCCGGGGGTGGTCCCCAAGCACTGAGCCTGGAATAGACCCCCCCGGAGCACAGCCGAGTGTGGCCCCAAAACAGAAACCAAAAAAAACAAAAAAAAATGGGCTGGAGAGACAGTACAGGGGTTAAGGTACTTGCCTTGTATGCAAATAACCTTGGTTTGAACCTGGGCACCATATACGGTCACCCAAGCACTGCCTGGAGTGAGCCCTGAGCACAGAGCCAGGAATAAGCCCTGAGCACTGCCAGGTGTGGCCCCCAAACTAAAATCAAAACACCAGAATGAGGAACCGGGACTCAGAGGGCCTGTGTTTGACTTCCACTCTCCTGGGCCTTTCTCTGACTTAACTAACTTTGGGCAAATTGTTTCCCCTCCCTGGACCTCAGTGTCCACATCTTTGAAATGGGAATGCAAAGAGCACCTCCCACAAGCAATGGCAGCCCTGAGTGGAGGGGGGTGTGTGTGTGAGTGTGTGTGTGTGTGTGTGTGTGTGTGTGTGTGTGTGTGTAGCACAGAGCAGAGTGATAGGTTAATGGCATTCCTAGGACCGAACCCCCGCCCCCGCCCCACGCCTTGATGGGCAGCAAGCCTGGACAAAAGGGCACCGGGCAGGTCTGTGAGGCACCAGGCCTCTTCCCGCCTGGCCCTGGCTCCAGGAGAAATAGGGAAACTGCCTCAGTCTGAGCACTGCCTGGAGGGAGCAGGCTGGAGCAGCCACAGCAGGTGTGGAATCAGAGGGGCTGAGGTGAGAGCCACAGGGTACAGGTGTCGTCCCCAGGCGGGATTGGCAGGAGGCAGCAGTCTGCAGCTGCAGGGAGCGAGCGGGTGGTTCCCACAGCTCGTCTGCTAGATGCCAGGCACTTTGCCACAGGGGTTCATGCATCACCAATATTTATTGAGCACCTACTACATGCCAGGCACTGCTCTGGGTGCCAGGGATGTAAGAGAGAGAGAGAGAAATAAAAATACATATGTATCTCCACTCTCCTGGAGCACATTTCCTGCTTGAGAAGAAGCAGATGCTAGAGACGCCCGTTCTCTCTCTTCATCGTGACAGGACAAGTTTGAATCCCAGCCCCAACTTGCTTTGTGCCTTTTGGCAAGTTACTTAACCATTCTGAGTCTCACTGGACCCATTCATCTCTCTCTCTCTCTCTTCCCCGTCCCTTCCCCCCACCTCCCCCAGTGCCGGGGATGGAGCCCAGGGCCGCCCACATACAAGCAAGCACTGAACCACTGAGCCACAAGCCTAGCCTTGGCCCATTCATAAAAGGGAGAGAATGATCGCACAGCGGTGTGGGGGGGGGGGGGGGAGGGAAGGGTATCAGGGTTGGCGGCTGTCCAGATTAAAGAAGATTCGGGGCCAGAGCCATGGTATAATGGGTAGGGCGTTTGCTTTGCATGCAGCTGACCTGGATTCCATCCCTGGCATCCCATAGGGTCCCCCGAACCCTGCCAGGAGCAGTTTCTGAGTGCAGAGCCAGGAATAACCCCTGAGCATTGTGAAATAACCCCCCCCCCAAAATAAATAAAACAAAACAAAACAACAGATGTCCCTGGGGCCAGAGCAATAGTACAGTGGATGGAGCACTTGTCTTGCACACAGCCAACCTGGGTGGGGTCCCTGGGCCCCGCCAGGAGTGACCCCTGAGCACAGAGCTGGGAGTCAGCCCTGAGAATCACCAGGTGTGACCCAAGAACCAAAAATTAAAATAAAGGCGATAAAGGGCTTAGCCCGATGTGTGACCCAGAGCCATATAATACAGCGGGTAGGGCATTTGCTTTGCACACGGCTGACCGGGGATCGATCCTCAGCATTCCAATTGGTCCCCCAAGCACCACCAGGAGTAATTCCTGAGTGCATGTGCCAGGAGTAACCCCTGAGCATCGCTGGGTGTGACCCCCCAAAAAATCATCCTTGCCCCCATCTCCCAGCTGTTCAGCAAAGGGAGGGTACCAGTCGAAGGTCCCCCCCAAAAGTTAGAGGTCACAGTCTACAAAGAGCCCAGGGGTCAGACTCCAGACTCCGGCTCCTGAGAGGCTCGTCTTCAGATCTTCAGATCTCCTGGGCCCCAGGTGCTGAGCTGTGAGGCCCTGGACTAGTCGCTTGCCTTCTCTGATCTTCCCTCTCAGAGTCTCAGAAAGCGGGGAGGATGGAACCCTGGGTTTGCCTGGGGGGCAGGGGGGCTGGTGACTTCGCGGTTGCTCCATGGGATCTGCGTGGCTCCAAGCATGGCACCTGGTTCAAGCCAGGAAGGCGGCCCGCAGAAGGCTGGTGACGCGGGTGATGACGACGGCAGTGGGCTGGGGCGGGTGGGCACTGCGAGGGAGTGAAGGGGGAGCCCTGGCACGGAGCAGGCCCGCGGGACAGCTCAGCTCAATGGATGATGAGGCGTACTCCAGGGCTGGCTCATCGATATCGGATGAGGTCAGAGCTTAACCCCTCAGCTGTCTCCAGTCCCTGGGTTCAGAGACCAAACGTGCCTTGCTCAGAGGCTCAGAGAGAGCTGGGGAGCATCCCCAGGCCACACAGCCCCGAGCTTGATGGGGGGGGGGGGGGGTCATCAGTGGAGGCAGGTCAGGAGTAGGAGGGAGTCTGGGAGGGGCCCGAGCTGCTGGGCTGAGATTCCAAATGGATGCAGGGCACCGGGAGAGGTGAGGGAAATGCGGTTTGGAAATGAAGATGATGACTGGAGCAGACGCGCCCGTGTGGGGGGGGGGTGAGGGGGGCGAGGGGGGTGGACGAGGCAAGGGAGAAAGCTGTGAAAGTCGAGTGCTTATTAATGCACAGAGAGGAAGGGCCGGATCTGAGCGCTAAGGGCCAGGAAATGGCAATGGGGTTTGGCAATAGCTGGGTTGGGGGTTGGGGGGGAGGGGGGAAGGGCCCCTCAGGCAGAGGCTCCAGGAGCCCAGAGCAAAGGGGAAGGGGGGGGGAGGAGAGAGGTACATTAGAATCCAGAATTTCTTTAGCCCCCAAATTGGAACAGGGGTGAGGGTGAGGACTGGAGTGATAACAGAGCAGGTGGGGTGCTTGCCTTGCAAGGCAGCCCACCTGAGTTTGGCATCCCATCGGGTCCCCTGAGCACCTGAGCACCATCAGGAGTGATTCCTGAGGGACAGGAGTCACCCCTGAGCATCACCGGGTGTGGCCCCAAACCCAAAACAAAAACGAATCACAGCTGGGGGTGTGTGAAAAGTGCTGAACCCCAGGGCCTCTGAGCCTTGGTGGCTCTGCTGAATCCAGAGGTCCCCAAAGTCCCCAAAGCATGGGTCACCTCTGCTGCTCTTACTGGTCTGCCTCTGACCTCTGCGCATGCCCTCTCTTTGCTGACCCGCTATGACAAAGTGACTCTGGGCTGAGAGAATGCAGGGCCCTGGATTGCATGTGCCTTCCCAAGTCCCCCCAGAACTGCCCAGCGTCCACCCTGAGCACCCCAAAGAGTGACCCCTGAGCACAGAGCTGTGAGGAATCCCTGGGCACTGCAGAGTGGAGCTTTTTTTTATTATATTATTATTTTTGAGGGGGGAGGTTTCTGGGCTTTGGGGAATCACATCCCACAATGCTCAGGGGTTACTCCTGGCTTTGCCATCAGGAATTACTCCTGGTGGTGCTCGGGGGGTGCTTTGGGATGTCAAGGATGGAACCCCGGTCAGCTGTGTGCAAGGCCAACGCCCTCCCTGCTGTCCTATGGCTCCAGCCCCAGAGTGTGGAGAGAGAGAAAGAGAGAGAGAGAGAGAGAGAGAGAGAGAGAGAGAAGTCCCGAGTGGGCTGTTGTCAAGTGATGGGCTGACCCAAGGCAAGGGCAGCGGGGCTCAGCGGGGCTCAGCGGGGCTCGCTGGGCAGGGGCCAGGGGCCCCCTCTGGGGACCTGAGAGGGGGTGGGGGCGGCGAAGGCTGGTGTCAGGCAGCCGGGAAGGTTGAGGGGGATGGATCTCAATGTGGCCAAGAGGAGGGCTCTTGGCAGCCTCAGTTCCTGGAGCGGAGAGGGCGGAAGCCAGATGGGAGGGGGCGAGAAGACGCAGGAGCACAGGAAGGTGGAGACTGGGAGCGTGGGCTGGGAGTCAAGGCCCTCCCCCAACCTGAGAGCCGCCAGCAGGCTCCTGGGGGTGGGGGGACCACTCCCCAGGCGGGTTAGGGGGGGAAGCTGCAGCCAGCAAGAGTGAACCCCGCAGCCCACCCCCAGGAGTGAGCTGGCTGATGCCTGGGGGGGGGCCTCACTTCCGTTCAACCCCCACTACCTCGGACAGGGGCAAGCTCCTGCCAGTGTGATGGGGGTTGGGGGATTCCCCAGCCCGGACATGCACCCCCTCCCCCAAGAGGGGTGATGATTCTGCAGGCTTGACACAGCCCTCTTTTTTTTTTTTTTTGCGTCACACCGGGTGATGCACAGGGGTTACTCCTGGCTCATGCACTCAGGAATTACTCCTGGCAGTGCTCAGGGGACCATATGGGATGCTGGGAATCGAACCCGGGTCGGCCACGTGCAAGGCAAACGCCCTGCCCTCTGTGCTGTCACTCCAGCCCCTGATACAGTCCTCTTAAAATCTCAGCCTAGCATCAGATGCTGGACGCCGGGAAGCATCTCATTGGAGGAAGAGGGGTAGGCTTACCTTCAGCGAAGCCCCAGCTGGGCCGGGGATCTGTGTGCTCACCCCCCACCCCCTCCTCCTTAAGACCTTGTCTTATCTCATCTTCTGAAACCTCCCGCCCGCCCGTCCTCTGCATTCATACTGAGGAAACTGAGGCTAAAGAACTTCTGCGAAATCGTGCCGCTGGGACCAGGGCCAGCGTGTCTAAGCCTCATCGCTGGACCAAATATGTGGGTGCAGGCGCTCTGCCCAGCCCCTCTTCACTCACATGCTCTTGCTGGGGGCGTCCTCATCAATCCTGGCACTGAACACCCCACCCCCATTCCTCCCGGAGGTCGCCTTCTTCCCATTTTACAGACGAGGCCACAGGCTTACAGGGTCACTGGCTTCCCTGCACCCTGCCTGCACGCAAAGAGTGTGCCCATCACACTCCCTGCGCTGGTGCTGCAGACTACAGAAGAAGAAACTGAGTCACGGGCCCTGTGGTTGGAGGGACGAGAGAGAGAGAGAGAAAGGAAGGAAGGAAGGAAGGAAGGAAGGAAGGAAGGAAGGAAGGAAGGAAGGAAGGAAGGAAGGAAAAAAAGAAACCCAGCGTGCGAGGGCAGGGAAGCGGGTGCCCGGCTGCGTGCTGAGTGCGCCCCGAGATGCCGAGTGTCACCAAGAGCATCGCGGGGGGGGGGGGGGGGATTGCAAAGCGGTCCTGATGCGGGGAGGCGGGGGAGGCGCCCCAGAACTGCTGAATGCGAAACTGGAGGAAGAGCTGGGGGGAGGGGAGGCGGGGGGAGGGGGGCCTCCTGAGGCATTGTAACGTTTTGGGGGGGTGCCCTGATCTCACCGGGATTGCTAACCTCCACTGGAAACCTCTAAGGAGGCTGGAGGAAGCACTCCGGGAATGCAAAGCTCCCCTCTGGTCCTAGGGGAGGGGACTCCCGCGGCTGGGGGGCGAGGGGGGGAACCCCACCCGTCTGAGCCCACCTCCGTCTTCTCTCCCACCGCCCCCAGGATGACCTGTTCGCGGACCTGGCCAACCTGAGCCACCTCTTCCTGCACGGGAACCGGCTGCGGCTGCTCACGGAGCACGTGTTCCGCGGCCTGGGCAACCTGGACCGGCTGCTTCTGCACGGGAACCGGCTGCAGGGCGTGCACCGCGCGGCCTTCCGGGGCCTGGGCCGCCTCACCATCCTCTACCTGTTCAACAACAGCCTGGCGTCGCTGCCCGGGGAGGCGCTGGCCGACCTGCCGGCGCTCGAGTTCCTGCGGCTCAACGCCAACCCCTGGGCGTGCGACTGCCGCGCGCGGCCGCTCTGGGCCTGGTTCCAGCGCGCGCGCGTGTCCAGCTCCGACGTGACGTGCGCCAGCCCGCCCGAGCGCCAGGGCCGCGACCTGCGCGCGCTCAGCGACGCCGACTTCCAGGCCTGCCCGCCCCCCGTGCCCACCCGGCCCGGCAGCCGCCCGCGCGGCAACAGCTCGTCCAACCACCTGTACGGGGTGGCCGAGGCGGGCGCGCCCCCCGCCGACCCGTCCACGCTCTACCGAGACCTGCCCGCCGAGGACCCGCGGGGACGCCAGGGCGGCGACGCGCCCACCGAGGACGACTACTGGGGGGGCTACGGGGGCGAGGACCGACGGGGCGAGCAGACGTGCCCCGGCGCCGCCTGCCGGGCGCCCGCCGACTCCCGCGGGCCCGCGCTCGCGCCTGGGGTCCCCAGCCCTCTACTTTGCCTCTTGCTCCTGGCGCCCCATCACCTCTGACTGCGGTGCTGAGACTGAAGAGGCCGGTGTGTGCCCCCACACACACACACACACAAAATCTCTTGCCCCCTCCCCTCACCCTTCCAGCGGCCCCCATCCTCCCGCTGCGGCTCGGCCCCAGCACCCATCCACCACCGCTGTCCCTCCATCCGGACCCCCCTGCAGGGGACCAGGCCCCTTCTCCCCGCCTCCTGGGCTACTACTGGTTTCTGCCTCAGTCCGGTTTGCCACCACTGTGGCCGTTAGTTCCTTTCCCACCCCCAAAAAAGCCCCCCACCCCCGCAGTGGACTCAGAGGGGCTTTTATCTGCAAAGCAACTTCCACCAGCAGAGCCTTTGGGAGCTCCGGGGACCGGTCCCACGCTCCCCCCGAGCCGTTTGGAGAGAAATCCTCCACGGGGTCAGGCGAACCCTAGGTCCCTGCTTAACGCGCCTCAACCTCCCGACACTGGAGGAATACTTTTCTCCGAAGTCTACTCTGGACACTTTTTAGGGTGCCTGGAGAGAACTTTCCTCTCCACCGTGGCCCCTGTGTAGTGAAGATCAACAGGAGTTGTTTGGGACAAAAAAAAAATTTATTAAAAAATTCTATTATTTTATCTTCTTCTGTAAGATGTGTTTTGGCTTAGGACTTCAAAGGTGGGATGCCGGGTAGAACCATTAGGATGTCCAAGCCATGGCACTGTCGCCATAGTACAGCGGAGAAGGTGTTCGCCTTGCAGACGGCTAACCCAGGTTCTATCCCTGGCACCTCAGAGGGTCCCCCAAGTATCAGCAGGAGTGATCCCTGAGCACAGAGCCAGGAGTAACCCCTGAGCATTACCCGGTGTGGCCCCCAAACAAAAGGAGTCCAGGCAGGGAGGATTAGGAGAAAATGGGATCATCTAGCAGGACAAGAAGCTGAAGTCGGGGGGCCACAGCCTTTGGGAGCTCTGGAGGGCAAGGGAGGGTCCCAGGGTTCCCTGAGCACCGCCAGGAGTAATTTCTGAGTGCAGAGCCAGGAATAACCCCTGAGCATGGCAGGGTGTGACAAAATAAAAAAAGAAAGAAGCTCGCAGAAAGGGGGGATGGATGGGGGACGCTGGAGCAATAGCACAGCGGGTAGGGCGTTTCCCTTGCACGCAGCTGACCTGGGTTCGATTCCCAGCATCCTATATGGTCCCCAGAGCACGACCTGGAGTAATTACTGAGTGCCGAGCTAGGAGTAACCCTTGTGCATCACTGGGTGTGACCCAAAAAGAAAGAAAAAAGAAAGAGGGAGACCAGCTAGGACAGGGAGAAATAATCACAACCAAGAGTGCGGGTGTCTGCTTTGCTCTTCTCCTTGTGCCCAGAGGAAGCTGCAGGCAGGGGCCTGGGAAGAGCTCAGAGGATGCCTAGCACAGAGGGTCCTGGATTCCATCATGTTGGCACCCACCATCATTTCCAGGAGACCCTCCACCCCCCAAAGGAAGCAGCTCCCTGTGGCCCCTGCATGGGGGCTGGGGGGTGGGTCAGGGGAAGGCCTCCAGCCCGGCCCATAGTTCCCTCCTTTTCTTCAGGAAAGAAGAGCGAGTTCCTAGGGCCTCTGTAAGGCCGGGACACACATAAGAGGGGGCAGACCCACTTTGGGGCAAATCTGAACAAAATAAAGGCACCAGGGGACCCAGGCCCCCTCCCAGAGCCAATCTCTTAAGCAAGCTGTGCCTGAGGCAGGATTTGCTCAGTGCACAGTCTGCACGCCTGTTCCTGGCAACCCTTAACAGGGGCTCCCAAACTTACCAAGATCACTGGCCCCTTTCAAGGAAAATTAATCACTCAATGGGCCCCTGGAAATCTACCTTCTTTAAGCAAAGGAAAAATGCCCAGCAACTGTACCTGAGGTTATAACCCACCCCCATTTCAGAGACACACACCCCTCCCCACCCCCGTACCCTTTTCTTGGCTCTATGTCAAGAACAAATATCCTAAGTTGGGGTGGCTATACCAGAAACCCCATATTTCTAGTATAAGGAGGAAGGCCAAAGAAACGAAAGAACCCAGCCTAAGAGAGATTTGGGATGGGGCCTGAGTGTCAGCACGGCAGGGAGGCTCTTGCCTTGTACACGGTCCATCCATGTTCTGTCCTCAGCATCTCATATGGTCCCCTGAGCATGACAGGAGTGATTACTGAGTGTAGAGACAGGAGTAAGCCCTGAGCACTGCCAGGTGTGGCCCAAAACATTTGTGTGTGTGTGTGTGTGTTTTAAAAAAAGATCTAGAATGAAGATTACCGGTGAATTCATAAAGAAACTAAGGATAACATCAACGGTTTAAATTCAGACCTAAGAATCTAACCTGGAGGACCAGAGAGATAGTATAGTGGGTAGGGCACTTACTCTTCATCCAGCCGACCCAGGTTCAATCCCCAGCATCTCATATGGTCCCCAGAGCACTGCCAGGAGTAATTCCTGGATACAGAGCCAGGAGAAACCCTTGAGCATCACTGGGTGTGGCCCAAAAAACACACAAGCAAAGAAAACAGAATCTAACAGTGGTCTGGAGCAAAAGCACAGCAGGTAAGGTGCTTGCCTTGTATACAGTTGACCCAGGTTCAATCCCTGGCATCCCATAGGGTCCTGCAAGTACTGTCAGAAGTGATTTCTGAAAGCAGAATCAGGAGGAAGCCTTGAGCATCACCAGATGTAGCCAAAAAAAAAAAGGAAGAAGAATCTAACCTAGGAAGTGGCTATGGAAAAGGGGTCCCAGAAGTTGGGGGCTCACTGAGGAGGGGTGCTGAGATTTGGTGGTTCCTCTGACCGGCAGAGAGGCCGAAATGGGAAGGAGTGAACCTCTTGGCCTGAGGCAAGGAGACTTTGGATGTGGGTCATCTGGGAAGTGGGGGTAGGAGCTCCAGCCAGGAGAGCTGATTTTGGGGGCTCACGGGCTGACTCTGAGGACATGGCTGAGCGGCAGGAGGGGGCTAGCCTGGCATGGAGGCACTGTGAGCTGGAGGAGGGGCAGCCGCGGCCAGGGCAGGGGACTGAGGATGCTGGGAAACCAGCAGCCGGCTGTCCAGGTCACTGAATTATCATTGTGAAATATTCATGGGCCTTGGGTCCAGATGCTATTTCCGAACAGCGAAAGCAAGAGGAGTGTGTGAGCCTCAGGAAGAAGCCCAGAGCGATGCCGCCCGCCCCCGCCCCCGGCCCAGACAGGCCCACGGACGCCCGCCCGCCGTCACGTGCACACCCACGCGTGCACGCTCGAACACTGAGCCGGAGAGGGGCACGTGCAGGCACGCCGACTCCCACGGGCCCCACGAGCAGGCAGCTGCACCCCAGATTCTGACAGGCACGCACAGCCACTCTGGGGGGGACCCTGCACGAAGACCACCCCCAGAGATCTCAGACAACCCCCAACTCGTCCCCCCTCCAGCCTCTACAAGCCAACCCCACTCACAGCTTTGAGTCAGACACCCTGAAAATAGGGGGAGGCTAACAGGAAAGCAGGACTATCCAGACCCTCCCCGCCAGAACCCATGTCTGCCAATAATCTGATGGGGAAACTGAGGCACGGGGGGGCGGAGGGGAAACATAAAGCAAAAAATGCAAAAAGCACAAATGACCCCTCCAAGGTTTAAAGTCCATCTGCCCCTTGAATTCTGGGGGTGCATCTCTCCACCCCCCACCCCTGCACACATTGTGGATTCTCTTCCAGACTCCCAGCAGTTAATCCCCCTTTTCCTAATCTTCTCATTCCCCTGTCCCCTCCCTTCCTCTCCATTCCCCCTGCCACCTCCCTGCTCTGTCTCATTACCTCATGCCTGGAATAAAGGAGAAAATAGCAAGAACGTCCCCTCTGGTATTCCTACATTCAAGCGCTCCCTCCCTCCCACCCAGCCTGCCTGGGGTAGCCAGGAAATCTGCATTACCTCATCAGGAACCATCGCTCCCTAGTGCCCAGGTGAAAGATAAAACACCTCAAGGATACCCTGGAGTCCGGGACCTATTGCCTTTCTACTGCTTTTTGACCCCCCGCCCCCCCCCCCCCAAAGCCTTGCCTTGGCCCTTCCAACTCCAGCTAGGATGACTGCAGCGTGCAGCTGCCAAGCTGGTGAAAGCCACAAACTCACCTGACACTCTCCCTCAGTGTCCCCAGACTAGGAATCCTCTCCCCTCCCTCCGCTACCCAGATGAGAGTTTCCCGAGCTCTGCCCCCAAGGTCAAAACTGCATCTCTTTAACCTCAGGCAGGCGGGGTGGAGGGGGTTCACGTCCTTCAAAACGGTGGCCGGGCTCTGCTCCGGGCATCTCCCAGCGGATGGCTGCCCCCCACTGGCCACCTTGGGGATCGCAGCCAGGCTGCATCGGTCGGCCCTGAGCGTGAGCATCTCTGGGCTCCGCCAGCGCGCAAGGACGCCAGATGCCAAGCCCTTAAGCCTCTAAGGTTCTTACCGTCGCCGCGTGGATGGAGAGAGCGCGCGGCTCTGCTCCGGGGCGGCTGAGCACTGACTCTTAGAGACCTACTCCACCCTCCCTGGGGGCTCTCGGCAAACACTGCGGAAGGCAATGTGCCCACCCGGCTTGGAGAGGCCACAGAGCCAGGGGACAGTCCAGGTGGCGGGGCCCCAGGTCCAGGTCGGGTCAGGTTTCTACATGAATATTTAATGCCTCCAACCAGACCTGTCAGATGTTCCGAAACCCGAGCAGATCCTTTCATCCTGGACACGACGCCCTTCCCTGCTCCCATGGCCTCTCCGGGTGGAGGGGTGGGGGGGACGGCAGGGTGGGCAGACCTGGGACAGATGATTCTGGAATAGAAAAGTCTACGACCTCGTTGTTCTCACATGGACTTGCGGTGTGACCTGGGGCAAGTTACTTAACCTCTCTGAACACCCTCTCACAGGCTTTATTTATTTATTTTTAAGGTAACCCAGAGGCAATAATAGCACCTGTCTAAATCGAGTCAGCCTGGGGAAGTGAATGCAACAACCCATGAAAAGGTGACCTACATGTTTGCTGTCACCTCTCAAGGCCGGCCTGCCTTCTATTTCCTTCCAGGCCTTGGAGGGGA